TGTGAGAGTAGAGAAACAGAGAGGGAACTTGAGTATTATACAGAGAGGTTCAAGGAAGGTTGGACGGGGTGTTTTCTGGGTTGAACCAAGAGCGTCGAAGGAGTAAGACAGTAGTCGACGACGTTGACGGACAATTCAGAGACGGAGGTTTAGAGTTTCAAAGTCTGAAACTCAAGGCAAGTCTTGTTCTTCTCTATCTCTTTAATCTGTGTTCTGTGCGTGTTTAGGAAGACTCCAGGAATTAAAATAAGGATTAATTATAACCTTTATGCATGTTTAATTAATGTTCCAATTCATGGAATAAACCTGTTCTAGGTTGTTTTAACAAGATAGAAATAAAAAACTGAAACTTTGTAACCTTGCTCCATTGAGTAACAGTTTGTTTTTCAATTCAAGTTTTGATTAAATAACATTGTATATCCTTGTTTTATAATCAATCTGGAATTGGAATAGACCTTAAAAACATGTAATAAAATTACTACAGAGAACTAGTACTTACAGGAATCAGAGAAGACGAAGTTTAAACGGACAGAAGGCTGCTAAGGGAGGAAGAAGAGGCTTCCAAAACCCTTAGAGTCGGCTCCCAAAGAGGAGGAGCCGGCTCTTGGTGCACTAGAGCAGGCTCTAGTAAGTCTAGAGCCGGCTCTAGATGGGAAGAGCAGGCTCAACTTTTTTCTAGAGCCTGCTCCCTCTTTAATTGCCCAGAATGTTGATTTTAGGTCCGTTTGGGCTGAAAATTGGTTTTCTAAAATCATTTAAAAGCTACTGGAGAGTGTAAATCATTGCCAAAGACTTATAAAAATGTTGGGAAACATGGTTACAAGTAGGTATTGAGGATGGAATTAACTTTAGTTTAAACAGAGAATCGTAGAAGGATGATTGAAGAATTAATTTTCTTTTGTCTATTATTTTTTTGAAATTTTGATTTCTCTGTATAATCTTAAACTGCTAGTTATATTTTTTATTATGGTTTAAGCATATAGTAGTATAATTAGATGTAGATATGGATGGAATTAACTGATGATTTAAACTGGATATAAATTGCACCAGTTATGGCACTGTTTGGAGAAATAAATTGCATGCTTTTGTTTTGTCATTTAACGGACTGGAATTGGGATTTTTATTTATTACTGTTTTAATTATGTTTAGACAGTTTTATAAGCATAGTAAAATTCTTGGAATTATCTATATTTGGTTGAAAGTAATTGATATAACAGTTCAGTTAATTTTATCAATTAGTGAATTTGATACATGCTATAAATGCTATGTTTCATAATTAGCAAATTTAATGGTTGGACTGAATACCTAAGTTTTATGTTTATGGATTAATTTGGTTGGTGCATATGTTGGGAGTTGGGTTGATGACTATCTAGTACTGTTTTATCAACACTATTAACTGGAGGATGGTATGTACCGATATGGGACGGTGACATACTAGGTATGGAATAGTTCAGACACTAGGCATACCTAAATGTGGATTAAGGTATGGATTAATCATAAAGTTAAGTCCATCACCTACATGTGTCATATCAATTGTGAATTGAATGACCTACTATGGTATCATGATGGATTTGTTATACATATATCAGACCACTACACAGATGGATGGTATACTGTATTAGGAGGGGTTCGGACCTTATATATATATATTATATGGTGCCGTGGTATGAGCTTGAGTCTCATGACCATGGTTAGGGCGCGTATATCGCCTAGGATGGATAACTGGACATAGGTGTTGTTCCCTGGTAGGTCTAGGTACTCATGCCCACCTTAGGGTGCGTATTTGCATGTTGCCTTCTATTCAGGCTGAGACAAACCTACTGGATTAGCGAGCGTCCTATAGTGTGTACTATATACTTATATGGACTACTCTAGTTATTGTTGAGTCTTCCTAGGATGTATCTGCGTATCGGATTACTGTTTGGATTGTAATAGATCAGGACTTGCATGTGGGCCTGACCCACTTCTTTATTTTTCAGGTGTTCGTCAGTTACAGGGTTAGAGTTTGGACGTGCAGAGCAGATACAGATATTCATTTATCCGACAATGTAGGAATCTCCTTTATGTTAGCTTTGGTCTTTATTTCTATTATTTTCAGTTCCGGTTTGAGAATCTTTAATAAGAGGTCCAATGGATGGATTCCCAAGTTGTAAACCTATGGGGTTTGGATTTAACGGATTTTAAATAATTATATTATTTTAAGGATTTTCAATTAGCATTTTTCAGCTTATTATTTTTAATTCTTATTTTATCTTGTATTCTGTGTTCGATTACATATTAATTGTTTGACATTCCTCGGGTTTGGGCCTGGGTCTGATCAACCCGTGTCTCGGATCCGAAAGGTATCACATCTACTATTTTAAAAGTAAATAGATGGTACGCTTATTACATACCAGATGCTCTTAAAGAAGTCCATAATCCATCCACGCATAGACAAGTCTTTCTATCTCATAATCTTTAAGGTTTGTTTGGTTAGCGTCAACTAGTTAGAAAGGAAAAGAAACGAAATTTTTTCAAATTATTTTGTAGTTTGGTTAGCGTGAAAAGGGGAGTTTTCAGGAAAGTAATATTCCCGCAACTGATTATTTTTCTCAAAATATTTCCTCCGTAAAATACATAAAAAATTAAGTTTTCCGTGAAAGTTGTATCATAATAGGTTAATTTTCAATTATATCCTTGTCAGTTATTTCTCTTCATTCTCTTTCGAAGTCACAAAAGGAGCGACTTCTTTTTGGTAAATTAGGACTCCTAATTATATTACAACTCTTTAAATTAGGACTCCTAATTAAGTTACAATTTTTTTACTCTTTAAATTAGCACTCCTAATTAAGTTACAATTTTGTGATTCTTTAAATTAGGATTCTATATATATATGCATGCACATATATTTTTATTCATAAAACAATTATTTATATTTTTTATTATGCTTGTTGCATGATGTATAGTACCTAATATTGAATTCATAAGGATAGTTTTGGCATATAAATTATTTTACTTTCACTTTCTTGCTAATCAAACTAACGAAACAACATTTTTTCACAAAAGTTTTACAAAAAAATCATGCTAACCAAATGCATGACAGAAACATAATTTTCTTTTCTTTCACTTCACTTTCTTTTCCTTTCACTTTCCACCATCAATTTTCGGCTAACCAAACGAACCCTTAGAGTATTTTTATTTTTGAAACACTCTAAAGTGAATTTAAACTCCCAGCCTTTTAAGCGGGATTAAAATTAAAAGTTATTAATTTCACTCTCTAAAATTGAACTAAATTTTCAAATGGTATTATTATTCTGGTACTTCCAAAGTGTTACAACAGAATATTTTTTTATTTTATTTTTATTTTTTCAATATCACGAACACTGACTAAATAAGTTTTGTTCATTATCATTATTTAATTTAGAAATTTAAAATTCTACCAACGGGAAATAGGCCGGTTCCTCGGACATTTGACTTAACATTAAATTAAAAATTGAGCTCGTTTTAATATCACTAATAACAAATAAGTGCTTCCTTTTCGATCCAATAACTTAAATTGTCACATATACTGCACACCTGTCCTTATAAGTCCACCCTTCTCATCCACCATATTCAATTTAGAACAAAAACCTCGAAATTTTCTAACATCATTCCAAATGGACAACCCATGAGAGTAGAATAAATAAATGGAATTGGACTCTCAATAGTTTTCATCGTTTTGTTTGAAGTATAAAACACAATAAGTACAAATGATGATGTGAGACATTTTTTTTTTTTTTTTAATATCCTTAAAGGTAGATTAAATGTTTATCATAAAATTTATATAACAACGCAATTTGAATATTACTTTAAAAAGTATCACTTAAAATGAGTTAATTTTTTAAATCATGAAAATATCACTTATCATTTAATTTTGAATTTTAAAATTTAAAAAAATCTATAAAAAAATATTTATTATTACCACTTAAAAAATTTAGTAATTAAAATTCAGTTCTTAAAATTTTTCATATTTTATTTTTATTAAACAGAGATTCTACTTGGAAGAAATTTGAAATTGAATATAAAATTTAACTTTGTTTTAGTATAAATTTGAATTGGAAAAATTGCATAAAACTCCTTCTACTTTCAAATTTTGGCAAAAAAACCTTTCTGAAGAAAAAAACTAACATAAAACCCCCTAAGTTTTTAATTTTAGCAAAGTGGTGCTACAATGACTAAAATGCCCCTTAATACAAATTTAATAAAATGATGGCCCTTAATATTAAACTACAATTAATAAAAATAATTCATTTAGCATAATATTATTTAAAAAAAATTTAAAAATTAATGGGAGTCTATATGAAAATGAAAAATACGAATATATATATATTGAAATTTTCTTAAATTTTTATTTTTAAAAACAAAATGGAAAAGAAAATCTAAAATGAAAATCATTTTAAAGTAAACCTAAGGAATAAGAACCTAAAATGAAAATCTTTTTAAAATTTATATTAAAGGCATTTTCATTACTATAACATCTATTTACAACAAAATTGATAATTAAGGGGATTAAAGTTATTTATTTATTATTATTTTTTTTTTGTCAAAAATTAAAAATAGAGGGATGGTTTGTGCAATTTGCCCATTTGAATTTTAACGGAGCAAAAGCAGCCCTTCTGCGTCCAGAATGATGGGTTAAGACTTAACACAGTTTACTGCAACCGCTACACAGTTTTTCCTTAAATCCCGCGCGGGACGATTATCCATTTCGGTTGTTACAATAAAGCGAATCCTCACGTCCTCCACCTTAGCAACATCTACAATAATTAAAAGACACGCGTCGAAATTAAAAGACACGTGTCAGTTATCAAACACGTGTTTCACTATTGGAGTGCCACCCTATTCCGAACCGTGGCAAAACATGCAATCACTCAGTCTCTCTACAAATCTCAACATTTTTATCTCCTTCTCTTTGTATTTTCTGCATCTGTAAGCATACAGACAAACTTACTTACCATTTGAAACTCAAAACTGTTCTGGCTATGGAGTCACAAACTACACATCCTCATGCCCATACTTACGCTGAAGACCCACACACAGGTAATAAGTTAATGATCGAGTTTTTTTTTTTACTTGAGCCTTGTTATAATTTGTATTAATGATATGAATTTTGTTTAATTTAGTGGAAGAAGGAGAGGATGAGCATCACCACGAGAAGAAATCTGTACTAAAGAAAGTGAAAGCGAAGGCCAGGAAGATTAAGGACACACTCACAAAGCATGGACACGGTCACGACCACGAACCTGATCACGATTACCATTACGACGATCAGTCTGAAGAAGACGAAGAAATGGTAGAAGATCCACAAGTTGACGGTGCACCAGGTACGTGATAGGAAGTGTGAAGCCTTATTTATAGTGGACTATATAGTGTATATCATTCTCTGTGTTCTTGTTCTATTTTTTGTGTCAATTTATTGGTTGATTAACTTACAATGTTTTATGGAATTGTGGTATAAAGATAATATAGAAGTGTATAAGTCTGTTCATCACGTGCCTGGTGTCGACAAACATGTATCGTTCCCTGATGAAAGTAATGGGACCAGGGTCGGTGCTGGTAGTATCACTGGGGATGTTGTCCGTGGGCGAGAAGAAAATATTGAGCCACTGAGGGTCAATGTTGGTAGATCAGATCTGGAGGTGGATCCTGATGCTCCCAGGGGTTCGCGTGAGGCCTTTTCTGATCCTTCAAATTATCAGGCCAAAGTCAGTGATCCAACTGGCACAGGTAAGGCCAATTCCTATACAACAATTAATATAAGTGTTCATTTTGTTGATACATATATCTCATTATTATTATTGGGTGAAGACTCAATTGTGAACCTGATAACAGCATTTTAGATTATGGGCATTTTTAGCACTGCTGCAAATTCCTAACTTTGTGCGGGACAACAGGATTTGGAACTTAATTAGAGACAAATTAATGCTATATTTGGAGTATTGAATTGTTGCGGTGGATTTGAATGTATTTCACATATGGAATGCATTAGACCCAACACTTTGGTACGTTGAAGTGCTGAGCTCCGAGTACCAGGACTCTTAATTTAAAGTTTAAATTGAATTTTCTCTGATTCCGTACTTCTAGACTCAAAACATAAATTTGACTGGATTGGATTTGATGGGCATTTGAAAACAAAAAGATAATGTACTTGATCATGTGGATGGTTTTAAATCTTGAGACTTGTTCATAGATGAAGTAGTATGATTAATTAAAAACTTTATTTAAATTTATTCAGGCACAAATTTAGATTCATTTCTTCTTACTAAGGGGTATAAAACTAGCAAGTGTAGTCTTTTTGTTGGTAACACACAGTTGACATGACTAAAATTGCTATGTTAATTGAATTTGGCACTATGATTTGGAACTCTGGACTGATGGTCCCTTTTTCGCTTACTTGTATCAGGTGGTGAAACAGTGGGTATCACTCCACTTCTTCATTCATTCAATAAAATGGACGTCTATGACGAATCAGCTCCGACGCCAAAACTAGGAACAGGGCTGCAGGTTCCATATACTATGGGAAGCCATGACCAGTTCTCTCCAGAGACAATTCCTACTAGTACTACCACCACTCCAGGAATTAATACTGAATCATCCCCAAAGAGATTTGATGCTACCGAACCTGAAAGTCTACCCCACGACACTTTGAGTAGCTACACCGGTAAGGTATCGTCCGCCACTTCTGCAATAACTGACAAAGCTGTCTCCTCCAAGAATGTCATAGCTTCTAAGCTTGGATATGGCAATAAAGAAGAAACTGAGACACCGGAAATGCACGAGAAAGGTGACACTGGCAATGCAGCATCTGTAGGAGAATATAGGCAGAAAATTGCCTCTGCAGTGACGGGGAAGTTGGCACCGGTGTATGAAAAAGTCGCCGAGGTGGGCAGTACAGTGATGTCAAAGGTGCCGGTGGGCACAGGGACGGAAGACCCGGGACATGGAACCGGAGAGCAAGGAGCTGACAAAGGGGTATCAGTGACGGAGTACTTGGCTGGGAAGTTCAGGCCTAGCGATGAAGACAGGGCACTTTCGGAGGTGATTTCTGATGCATTTCAGAAGCGGAAGGAAGAGCCGGAGGAGTCGGGAAAGGCAAAGCCGATGGGGAAGGTGACGGAGTCCGAGGAGGTGGCGAGGCGGTTGGGCACTGACAATGAGGGTACCAGGAATTATAAGGGTGATGGTTTTTCTGGAAACATGAGCACTACTAAGGGCGTGGTGGATAGACTTAAGGGTGCAGTTGGTACTTGGTTTGGGAAGCCCAGTGAGTCACAGAGTTCTCAGGAGTTACATGGCACTTCATATGGTATTTATTTCTTTAGTCTTTTTACTTTATAAGGTTGCTGCTTGTAAATTGATTCCGAGTATTTTAGATATTTTAATTTTTCGTTCAGGCAAATGTGTGCATGCCTATTCTAATACATAGTTCAGACACTCAAACCGGTTTCGAGGGTAGAGATCATACTATCTGAACAAATGTTCATTGGTGTAATGCATTAATTGCATTCTACAATTTCTTTTTTTGCAGCTGGTACAAAAGGATTTCCGAGTTATGCTAGTGAAGGTGTTGCAAAGGGGCATGAAGATGGCGGAGAGCGAAGACTTCAGGAGTAGGGCAATTGACTGGTCCTACTACTGAGGGTTTTACTGTATTTGGGAAAGGAAATGCTTGTTTTGTTTTCTAACGGGGTTCTTGCGTTTCTTTTGTTCTGTGATGATTTATCCGTGTCTGTTGTTTTACTTGCATTACCAAATTTTCAGTTGCAATGTTTTTGAGGATATAATGGCCGATGAATTAGTGATACCTTGATGTTTGTTGAATATTTTTTCACTTAGGGATGCCTTTTTAAGGTAAAATATTTATTTTATTTTATATTTTTGGTGCTTGAAAAATTGGCCGAGGTTGAGATGAATGGGTAAATTATTTTTGTTTTCGTAAATATTTTACCATAATTAAATATTAAAAAATAAAAAAAATATTTTTTAAAAAATACGTTATATCTAAGCAAACAACCTAATCTCAAAAAGTCTTTTACTGGAATGTTGTCAAGCATATAGACACTGAAGAATCTGGACAAAAAATAAAATGGAAAACTCACTCACGTTATGGATAAGTAGTTCGAATTGTGTATGTTTCCTTGGGAACACACTCAACCTCTTCAAAGCTTATACCATCTGTCCCTCTTTCATGGTATTATTAAAAATAATTATTAATTAATATACTAAAGGTAAAGAAATGGACGATAATGGCCTTATATTGGTTTCTTGTCTTGTATTATTATAAGCAATTAACCCCAACAACCCTTACAACACGCGTATTATAGACGCCATTTTTAATTGTTTTGCTTCAGGGTTTGAGAATAAGATGCTTTTCTAATCTTCTCTATCACAAATAGGCATGCTGTTTCCTTATTTATTATATTTCACTTTCAGAGAATGATATTGTCTGCCCAATATAGAATTCGAAGTACTATTATGATGAATGAGTTTCATAAGTAGTCCCTTTCATCTAAACTAAGCAAGCAAATATTGAATTGATTCCTTTCTTATGTAGCAATTTTTTTCTAGTTTTGGCAGCTTTGCTTTTTGTTCTTGTTTCCCAATGCGTGAGAGAGCTCATCTCAATTCTCATGGGCCTCACCCTGTTCAAATTTGGAGTCCGAACAAAAAATTTCATTTACAATACTATTCTTTAATTCAATTGACACTTTCAAAATTTTGCTGTAATTCATTTTTTTTTTTTTTTTGACATAGAACTTCTGCAATGTTTTGAGAGATATTTTTAACCTTTAACTTTTCACTTTTAAGAAAAAAATAAATACCACTTAGTCACAGGTCTTTATGCGACTTAAATATTTTGGAGTAATTGCATGGAACCTTTGTTAAATTTAATTTGCATGTAATAAACTTTTATTCAGGTGGACCGATAGCAGTAGCGTTCTACTTGGTCATATATGAAGCTCTCTTAAAATGACTTTTTGATTTGTGGTGGCTTCAAAAATCAGCAGCACAGACTATGTGGACAAACAACAGCAATATGATCTCAATATTAAATGCGGAATGTGATGTGATATATAGATATGTGTGTCTGTGTGTGTGTGGTGGTGTGAATTTGCTAACGAATTGCACTTCATGTCACATCTATGCACAATTAATCAACAAGCGATAACATTTAGGAGGTTCTATCTCTAACCGTTGTGTTTGAACTTTGAAGTGATCTCTTGCTTCACTCATATTCATCTTCTTTCTTTTCCATCATCTCTCTAACTGGTGGAAATATGGAATCTGGTGTTATTTCGCATCTTCTTTATTTTCCATCTTATTATTATTATTATTTATTTTTTATTTCATGTGGTGACTACTAGGCACTGCCTAGTGGTAGGTAAGTAGTTCCTTTCATCTCAATTCCTTGCAGTCATTTATGTAGCAAAGTTTACGGCTCTATTCTGGATTTTTCTGAAATTTTCTTTTCATTGTTTTTTGGTATTTGTTGAACTGTACATACCATGGGCCATCATGACTCATCCGAATGTCTATCTTGCTTTGCTCCTTGCTTTAGTTTCAAGTCAAGAATCTAATTCTCAAACTTGGCCATTATCTCAACAATAAATTAATATTAATCACTGATATCTGCAAAATTGATACATACCTAATATTTGACATTATTTAGGCAACTTCAGATAAACAATTCATAAAAAAGAGAAAAAAATGACGAATCGAGCTTTTATCACGTACGGCAGCAAACAATGATCCTAATTAGTTCTTGTGCATCCAGTGATTTAGGAAAGGCCATATATATATTTAGATATATATATATATATATGTGTGTGTGTGTGTATGGGTCACTTTTATTGGAAGCTTTGTATAATGACTTGCTGACACATTGATGGCGGCTTCAAAGATTTGAATTGCTCTCTTCATATCAGATTCATGCACAAATTGACCAAATAATACCCTAGCTACCTAATACTCACCAGATATTTATGCATGAAATCAACAAACAGTTACACATGGGAAAATATATCCAAATCAGTTATGCATGGAGTAGTAATCTCCTAATTCTTGAGTAATAGTCATGGCAATCTCAATCAACAAATAATTTCTCCCATCACTTCTTGCAAATATGAAACTGGTGAATTACATATGTCCGATGATGAATTATGAGTTGGACACCATTATTGTCAATGAACAATGTGATGAGCATTTATTTATTTAATTATTTTGAGGCATTTTGTTGGATGGACATTGACCCACTAACAAGTAGAAGAGGAAACTGGTGAACACACAGTTTCTTTGCTCATCTGTTTCACAATGGACAAAATCAGCAGCTTCCTTAATAAACAAGTGCATCATAAATTTAGCCATTGAAAACCCAAGAGGAAACTGACAGCATTAATCACTTGTACCTTGTGTAAAAAAGTGGTAGTACAAGAGTTCATTCATGAGTTTTTATTCTGGAAGTTTTTCCATAATTTATTTCAATAACAGTCCTATATATAATATTAATATAGTGGCATATAAGTATTTTAGAGAAACCTCACTGGTGGAAACTGGAATTTGGTGGTTTATTTGGCCTCTTCTTTCTTTTCCTCTTTCTTTTCTTCCTTCTTTTCCTCTTTCTTTTCTTCTTTCTTTTCTTCCTTTTTCTCTTCTTTCTTCTCTTCTTTAGCAGGCCCAACTGAGATTATATCAACCTTTCCAACTTTCTTCAATTTCTTCACCACTGCCACTGTATCCATCTCTCCTATCACTGTCAGCTTCTGCTCCTTCAGATCAGCCGCGATCGAATCAACTCCTATATATTCATCAATTTTCACCCAAAAATTTATTAAAAAAACAAATAAATATCATGTGATCTATGGTGTAGAGAATAATCGATATCTGCAAGATATAAAAATAAATAAATACTGAAAGCAGAGCATATTTGATGAATACCAAAAATATCAGCAGCAGCCTCAATAGCTTTCTGCTTTGTCTTATCATCAGTCATGGTCATCACCTTCAACACCACCTTCTGCTAATAAATTTTAAACAAGAAAAGAGAAGATAAAAGTTATGGACAACTAATTTATCTGGAAAAAAAAAAAATTAGGGACATGAAAAGCAATAACAATTTCTAATGACTGTAGTTAAATTGGTAATCCAATACCTGAGCCATTTGAAGAGCAAGCCAGTATGAACTCTGAAACTTTAAAGCCTGAGAGAAGAAGTGAGTTTTGGAGGGGTGAGATGTGAGGGCTTGGGTTTAGATATGAGAGGGCCTTGTCTAATAAGAATATTGCAGACCTAAAAGGTGCATACTTAAATACAAATCCAGCTTGATGATATGGTATCATAAGAAAATGATGGGCTTGATTGAAATTTTTGAGCCACGTGATTGGTTGGTTGTCTTTTCTTATTACTCCAATTTTTACTACTTTATTTTCTTCCTATCCTAGAAACCGAAAGAGAATTAAGAAAAGTCATATGATGACTAAGAAAAATTTGGGCATATATTGCATTCTAGATGATTTTCGTTGAGAACACTTTAAATATGAGTACAAACATATATATATATATATATATATATATATATATTTGAATGGTAAAGTGAGTACATTTTTCTGCAGCCACAACGAGGAAATAGAGTTACCCAAAGTCGAATTTCAATGGGCTGAAAAAAAAGTTGTAAAGCAATGTTGTTGTCAACTTGGCTATCTATTCTTTTGAAAAGGGTTGGCTCTGGTTACACATTTTCAGATTCTCTTTATTCCAAAGTCGTAACAGACAAACTACTCCTCCTTTCAAAAGTACCATTTGTAATTAAAGCGTTATAGTTATTGAATATACCCACCAGCTAAGATGGTCAACTCATAAAATCACCAAATTCTTCTGCGTGTGCTTTGAATTTATTTTATATATTTTGAAAGTTCCAGTAAATACACACCCGTCACATCTTTTTGTGCACACGAGAATTTGAACACTCGTGATTGTGAAAATTTTACATGATAAAAATTAAATTGTTCATGAATAATTCGACAATGATGAATTAGGGTTTGGTAGGACTGCATTGCATTGCGTAACGGTAGAGGGATAATGTGTTCGACTTTGATGGTGCAGTGGTGGAGGCTAGGAAAAGCAGTAAATTGGTGGCAGCGGCGGCTGTGATGGTGGCATAAGGTGGTAGCTGGCAGTTGATTTGGTTTGAGATGGTCATATTAACTCTGGGACATCATAAATGGCCATGGTCCCTTGAAATAGGAAAGCAAATACTAATATTGAGTCCCTAATGTGTGTCCATGTAACCAAACACTTCTAATGTAACCGTAGCCAATAAAAGTATAGTGGCTTAGATCAGATTAGATGTCACTGAAACAGCATCAATGCTCATCAAAATGTTTGTTATATACGTATAATGTATACTTTTTTAGAAATGGAGTCCAGCTATTTGAGCATGACAAAAAAAATTTAAATGAAAATATTTCATAATATTTTTTTGGATTAATTTCATAAAACAGTCACTACTTTTAAATTTTGATTATAAATTTCTGACCTATTTTAGAAAATCCCCCGCACTTTAAAAATTAATCAAATTGTCTCAATAACGACCCGTTAATTGGGATGTGAAATTACAAATTGGACTTTACTATTTCTTGTTAAATTAAAAATTAAAAATGATTATTTTTTAAATTACAAAAATACCCTTTTTTTCCTTGCTGATCATCTACTTAACTTTTATTATGCCCGGCAACCTTGCTGCCGGCTAGAAAAAGTGTCGGCCGATCACTGCCAGAGTCTTACTCCAGCGTTAAGTCGTCGGTCTTAACAGAAAACTAGTTGTTGCACAAGGCAGTGACTTGGAACCATGAATTGACCCAAATAACACATATCACAGACAAAATTCACAAATCACACAAATCTTCCATGCTCATTTTCTTTTCCTAGCTCCCAAGGCCTCTGTTATGATGTGTGGAAAATATTAATCAAACTCAGCATTATCAAAATTAACCTCAATAACTCTGTAATATGACAAACACATTGTGCCAAAAAAAGAAAAGAAAAATGATGTAGTACTAGCCCATCAACAACAATCAAACAAGCATGCAGTACAACCCTCCTCACAAAATTTGATTTTGAATTACATGAAATTAAAATGCTCGAATGTCGTCTGATCACATGATAGTGCATGCATGAGGATTTTCGTCGCTGAAAAGCGAAGCAAAGGCCTCATCGGACGCCACAGCAAGAGAGTAAACAGCAGGGGTGTGGAAAAAGGTATGAACATTAGCAGCAGCTCCATTTGTGTGTGTTTCATAATAGTGGTTGACAATGTGAGATGGATACTTGTAAAATGAAGCAAAATGAGAGTACCCTCCTGGATATGGCCACAGCTCTGCTGCTTTTCCGGTGCGCTTAATCGCCTTGAGCACCTTCTTTTCGTCCAACGCGTACCCTCTCACTGTGATCTTCTGTGTCTCCATTTCTATGTCTACTTCTTCAACCCCTAAAAATTATCATAGATTGAAGTGATGAAATGTAATTTGATGAAAGTAAAGAGTAATTATAGTAATTATTATCTTAAATGATGAAACTATAGCATCAATCAAAGTCTATTTTATGAAAAATAAAAAATGTGATACAAACAAAATTTGAAATTGGACATGTCACATTGTCTGACTTTATAGACGAAGTGGTCCAATGTAGGACTCACTATGGGGCCATTTCATGGAATAAATGAGGTTTGTGCAATTATTTTAGAACAAATTTGAGCAAACATTATATATTTTAGAAAAAGAAAAGAAGGAAAAGAAAATAACGAGGAACAATTGAAGTCCAAGCTACCAGCCCGAAATAGATAAATGCGGACCAATGAGAAATTTTGGGCTTCCGGCCCATGTCACAACTATCACCCAAAATCTTGCCAAGGCGAATGGCAACACAACCACCCAGGTAGTATGAGAGATGTTTAGCGCCGACTGTGCAGTTACAATGGTCGTAGTCTTTTATATATACACACACACACACACACACACACACGAGAAATGCTACGGTTAGTTTGTTTGGGCAAATTCAATCCTTAGATATGTGAAATTTACAAGATTCAATGACTATCATCGCCCGGTGGGAGGGAGTAGAATATATGTGAAAAATAATATGTATATATATATATAGTAATAGATCCGTGCCTGCACATTAGTACCTTTGAGCTTATAAATGGCTTTCTTTAGCTTTGAAGCACATCCTTCGCAATCCAGGTTTGGAACTCTCACCTCCACCACCTGCAACACATGCAACCATGCACATTGTTAAAATCCCATATCCGATCACGACTTCATGTCTAGATTAACACACACAAAACACACACATACATTATACATATATACTCCATATTCATATATATATATATATATATATATATATATATATATGTTATGAGTGAGAGAGAAAGAGAGGGACTTACAGACATAGCTCAAAAGTATATATGAAATTGTGTAATGTGTATGTTAGAGACTGCTCTGGTGAAGATAACAAGAACTCTATATAAGAGAGCTAGCTTCTCTTGGATATGGGTTATTTTAGGATTAAGAAGGTTCTTTAAATTGACTAAGATAACATTGGGTTTTGAAATCCAAATGCAAGTGAGTTCACGCGTGGAATGGGAAAGCGTGACTTTATGCACTCCAAAAGCATATTCTCTCTCTATACATATCAATTTTCTTACATATATATACATGCAGCATCCCCACAAATATTCATTCAGCTTTGCAGCCCTTAAAGTTATTAGAAAGAAAAGAAAAAAAGAAAGAAAAAAAAGAAGAAGACACACACACACATATATAGTCAAAACTCAAAAGTACGTGTAAAAAGCAGGGAAAGATGATCATGACCGTTTATATAATTTTTCGATGGCCATGATTAACGAGACAATGAGATGTACTCCACATAAGCACACAGAGGATAATTCCAATGATATATATTCTCCAGGAAGGCTGCAAATTTTGGAAAATGACATAAAGCAAATGGGAGAACGTATCATTCTCATCTGTCTCTTCAATACTACGAGTAACAGGAAGTATATGCTCACAATTTGTAAGGCTCGTTTGGGAGCATAATTATCACAACCCATGATGGCTATCGGCAACATAATTAGTATAACAATTCTAATTTAAATTTCCAAATATTCAAATTTTTTTATTTTTATCTTTAGCTCTTATTTCTCTACCAAAAGTTTCACACACACACACACACATCATTTAGCCCATCTCATCTAACATTACTTTTAAGATTAACCATAAAGATTACACATTGTCTATTCCAATTTCCAAAATAAATGTTCCTGTTTTTTCTTTTGGGAATGTTTAGGAAAAAGTGGTCTTTGATAAAAGTCAATGTATAAAAATTATACACTAGCTTTCAGATGATTAACTGGAAACTTTTTAAATTTACAATTTATATCCTTAAACTTTAAACAAGTGATAATTTTTCAAATTAGACACGCATTAAATGTAAAAAAATAAAGCAATGTTTCTCATGATTAATTCCCAAATTTTCAGACAAATTGATTTAGACTCGAGTAGGCCTAACTTTTCAAATTTGTATTCATAGGTTATGATAGCTAGATTTGTATTGCCAGTGGCGGAGCCACAATAGATCAAATGGGGAAATTACTGAAATAATAGCTTATTTTTATTTTTTATATACAAATATAAATAATATAAAAGTGTCCCTACTAAACTTCTACAAAATTCATAAAAGGCTCATCCATTAATCTTTAATATTTATTATTTTAATTTAAATTTTTTTATTATATTATTATATATAATTGCTCCGTCTAAAGTAAATTTTTAAATTTGCCACTGCAATGTAAGCTTGTTGAAAAATAGAACACCCAACGGACTACCAATATATATAGTCTATATAGATATATATAATTTATAACATAGTTTTCTCATCTGAGATGTGAACCTGTTAAATAAACATTAGGAAGTGACCCCACTGAAATAATGAGATTTAACACAGTCGAGCATTTAGTCAACTTTTTAGTGACACCACTTGGCATCAAATGGTTAAATATAGTGTGGGTTCTGCGCAAATTTGTCACATCAATGAAGTTTAAGTACTGATACTTTATTTATGAACCGTATGGTCTGCAAACAAATTTTCACATTAATATTTCAGATATTCTTAACTCTATTTGCTGAAAAAAAAAAAACAAAGAAAGAAAGAAGTTCCTTAATGTATAAATATTTTATGTTGCACATTATAACACTTTCACTTTCCAACCAAATTTCTATGACTTCTTTAAATCATTTACATAATTGTTGCAACAAATAACGAACACAATATAAAATTGGCAAAAAAAAAAAAAGAAAAAGAAAATCACACTCTACACAAATTTACTATGCAAAAAATTACACCCTTTGATCTCTCTCATCCTGGATTTTGATTTTTAGTACTCTTCTATCTAAACAATACAAATTTTAACATACTTATGTACCGAATTAAAATAAAAACTAAAATTTGAGTTGGAATGCCCAAGATAAAAATAAAATTATAAAATATAAAAATGAGTCAAAATTTTAGAAGAACAAATTCAAAAAGCCAATTCGGATCATAATTGAAGATATTTATTTATTTATTAAGTAATGATACTTACGCTTATTTTTTAGGTAAAATAATTTGATCTAATTAATTAGTCCAATTTAAAACTTATTTTAATGTATCTGATTCCATCAAAGTATTGGAGCTGTTATTATAATTTTCCTAAATTTTTTTAATTGTTGAGCTTCTAATTCTGTTGGTGTAAGTTTACGGACCAATATCTCATGCACAACACACGTCTATTAATTCAATTAAGTGCATGCCTAATCATAAATCTAGATCAGTTACCAGTTTGAAATTAAACCCGTATCCATTCCAAAATTTTCTCTTTTGTTTCCGTTATTAATTTCTCTTTCCTCTCTCTTGTTTCATTTCAGATCTGATACAGAACCAGTCCTCTCTCTCTCTCTCTCTCTAAAACTCTATCGCTCTCGCCATCACTTCTCCTCTCAACCCAGATTTGGAATCACAGCATAAATTGGGGATTGGGGTTGGCGCCTTATTGACAAGATCGAAGCATGGTCACCTGCGACCAAATTCTTCCAAGTATGTACAATTTTAGATATATATATTTATATAATATGTATGATATAATACCTACATAATATAAATTGATTTTTATTTATATATGTCTGTGTGTGTTATATATGTCTCAATTGAACTGCCACAAGCCTGAGGTTGGCTAAACAGTGCCAAGCTGAGCCTGCCATAGGACAGGAGGCTAAGCTTATTACTACCTCCATCATAAGTGTCCTGTTACTTAAATTGTGAGTTATGATTTTCAAAACACTTAAATTAAAAACAGAGAAAGTAATATATAAGGAGTCCAAAAATTCGGATATATTTAACCACATTCAGTTATGCCATTTGAAATGACTGCATTTATTATGTGAGTTATGTCAGTGACGATGACATCTCAAATAAAAAATTTTATTCTTTAAATACAGAGCATTCACGATTTGAATTTTAGACATGTGAATCATTATCTTTATTTTTAGTGAAAAATGATTCTAAAACCTAATATTCAAACTTGGGTATTATCCAATATATCCTTCTATCTCTTAACGAACATCTTTGGTTTTATTTACAATGTAAAACCACTCATCAAACATGTGACAGTTTCTTTCTGAGACAACTACTGACTTCATTCCCTTTTTTCAGATTCACATTCCTGCAAGTCTGCAACAAATTCTATGCCTTTTGATTAAAGAAAGAAACCGCATGATCATCAGATTCCCTCTCTGACTATGTTTCAATTACTTTACTACAACTTTAGTAAGTACTCTCAAACCTCCTGTTTTCATTTTCTGTTACTTTTTTTTTTTGTTTTGTTTTCTTTCGCGGACAATCTTATGCTATGGTGGTGCTATAATTTGTCAACACGTTAATTCTATTTATCAATACGTTCATTCTTGTTTAATTTGTTAAAAGCATATTTAATTATGTTTAAAAAGGTTCTGTAGCACGGTGTTGTACACAGCAAAGGATCGATGCTTTACTTTTCGATTAACTTTACTCTCAACTAAATTCTCTCTCATTTCATTTTATATTCACTCTTTTTCTCTCTTCTATATTTTCTTAGAACCTAAGTAAGAGATTGCATTCATTTCTCTATTCAATTCAACTGAATTAATATTTCACCAACCATATTAGTTACAAAATCCATTTGATGCTAATTTGAATCCTCTGTAACCTTCCTGAGTATGTATGTATGTTGTGAATTGTCAAAGATTAGGTGGTGGGGAAGAGAGAGAGAAAGCTAGAGAGAAGATGCAGGGATTTCAGAGGAATTTGTTGCAGGGATATAGACTTCAAGGACATTTGAAGAATTCCCCTGCAATTTCTTCTCTTCTTTTCGTCTTCTCATTCTTAATCCTCATCCTCTTCCTCGGCGCTTTTGTCTCCACGCACTTGTTCGACACTAGTGTCACTGTAAGTTCTTCCTTTTTGCTATTGTCTTGCATCACATTATTGTTACAATTGTATTTATTTATTTATTTTTTAAAGGAATGCTATTAAGAAAAAATGAGTCTGAAGTTTGAACCGTTTGATGAATACACTTAGCTGCGTCTCACATCACTCCTACATGAGTGTATTGAACCTATGGAGAGCCTTCGTTTCTCAATTTCAAACTCTCCGGCCTCTGTAATTCATATATATATATATATATATATTTTACTATATTATTTTTACTACCACAGTCCTACATTACATGTCTCTTAAAATTCGAACTTTTTACAAGGTTTTTATTTAATGCATTTGAATTTACATTATTAATTTATGAAAATTCTCAGAACATGATGCTTTGAGCAAGATAAAATCCTTTTAGGTTGAGGATTGGGATATTTGAAAAGAAAACTGGATATATGTTTTGGGACAAAGCGAGTATATATATATAAAATGTTACAATGAGGGTGATCACGAAATAATTCTATAAAGAAATGATAAAACTAATGTAATATTTACACAAAAGCACAAATTAAGTGATTATTGCACTTAATTTATAATTTTTGTAGGTGCTGTATGATCTTTTAGTACTAAATTAAGTTAATTTATGGATTGATCAAGTGGTTATTGCACTAAATGTGATTGATAGCACACATTTGCATCACCAGAAAAACTAATAGCATTCACTTAAAATGGAATAAGATTTTGAATGAGTGAACTTTACGTTTTGCTACTGAACACTTCCAATTCAGTTCTTAATAATTTTAATTTCGATCAAGTAACTTCTTGAATTGATGTTATAAAATCTTAGCGTGCTTACCAAGAAGAGGAAAAAATTTAAAAAAATAAAACTAAATTGATGACTTTAACACGTATTAGGGTGCATTGTTATTGGAATTTCTTTGTTTGAGGGTATCAACAATTTAAATGCAGTCGTGGCGGTCTTTTGATCTCATTAGTTCCACAGTGGATGTGATTGTGCCGTCGAATACATTCCTCTTATATGCATTTATGTATACACAACGAACCTATTAAGGCCAATGATGATCATATCACAATATTGAGTTTTAGTCTTTATTAGTTTTGGCAAAAAAAAATATGTATGTTTTACTAATCCAAAACAGTTAATTAGTTTTGTCAAGACTCCACAGGCTTGTCTGAAATCTCATTATGATAGTATCATCAGTTGATGTGAATTTCAAGTGAATGATGATCATATTACAATTTTGGCCATCCTCTAATGGATTTTGTTCTCTGTTGCAGTCTATAGCTCGCAATGCTGCACTGCAATTTGAATATCCACTCAGCTGCTTAGAGGGCAATCTCACACGAACCTGTCCAGCAAATTACTACCCAGCAGAGTTTTATGTACGCAATCAGAACCCTTCATCAACGACTCCCACGTGTCCTGATTACTTCCGTTGGATCCACGACGATCTACGGCCATGGAGGGACAAGGGGATTACAAAGGAGATGGTGGAAAAGGCCAGGAGAACAGCCAACTTCAGATTGGTGATCGTGAAAGGTAGGGCCTATATTGAGAGATATGTGAAGGCATTTCAGACCAGAGACGATTTTACGCTGTGGGGGATCCTACAGTTGTTACGGAGGTACCCTGGACAAGTGCCCGATTTGGATCTGATGTTCGACTGCGTTGACTGGCCGGTCATCAGATCAGTCGACTATACCGGCCCCAAAGCCACTGCTGTACCACCTCTGTTTCGATATTGCGGAGACGAGGCCACACTAGATATTGTTTTTCCTGACTGGACCTTCTGGGGATGGTACGATCAAAATAAAGTTGTTTTTCGATGATTAAAAGGATTTTTTTATATTTTTTTTAATTATTGCTGTCATTGAAAACTAAACTACTTAATAAGTATGAGCCTTCTGCAAAGAAACTTAAGAAGTATGAGCAGTTTTAAATGAAACAAATAAATCAAAATTATTACAAAACAAAAAGAGTATATTTCGATCTGTTCATGACTTAATTCTAGATAAGGATGTAATTATTTATAAGGTGTTATTTAAAGTCCGAAATCGAACAAGAGAGAGGACTGGTGGCCACAGTGCCACACTCACCACATTGCGGTGCCCATTGCCCCCTCTCTCTCTTGTTCGGTTTCAAACTTTCTGAGGGCAAATCATTTCTTATTGTTTAGATAATATACCTTTTAGAAATAGTCTTTCATTACCATCATGATGAAGTTGCTTTAGTTATGATAAAACATTTGTTTTCTTTGTTTTACTTCGATAGCTGAAAAGTAACTGTGCCCTAGTCTTGATACCAGTGTGTCATTGAAGAAAACTTGAAATAAACATTTTTTTTTTTTTTTTTAGGCCCGAAACCAATATAAAGCCGTGGGACGCATTGTTGAGGGACCTAAATGAAGGAAATAAGAGGAGGAGATGGTTAAACAGGGAACCTTACGCGTACTGGAGGGGCAATCCGAATATTGCTGCAAACAGGATGGATCTCATCAAATGTAATGTCTCTGATAAACAGGACTGGAATGCTCGTCTATATATCCAGGTAAATTTTCATTATGCTTTATATTTATTGTCTACTTGTACAGTCGTTTCATACTTGATTAAACTATGAATTATTTTTCCTCTACAAGGTCCAATTCAACTATTCATATATTAGCTGGATCCTGGATGGTATGAGAGCTAGACAAAGTTACATATGATACTTCATATGGTATCATTCTAATATAAGTTAAATTTGCTCTAATTTTCATCTACTAGTCCTCATTTGATGATGAGGCAATGTAGAACATGGATTTGGAACGTCAAAAGTCCAAATGAAAGGGCTGACACAATTTTTGGTGCAGTTTCGATAAGTTTGTTTCAATTCGCGCACACTTTTTCCTTCTGATCGGAAACAACCCAACGACACCAGCCATGCTATGCTAGCTTCTGAGATATGCCAAACTTCATCATTTAATGCCTCATTTTAGTGTTTTTTCAGTGCTATAGGGAAAATATCCGAATTTTAGTTTTCTGGTTAGTTGGAAACTAGATAGTCTCTTGCTGTCTTGTATGGCAATTGATGCATTAGGCAATATTTGCAGGACTGGACTAAAGAATCAAAACAAGGGTACAAGCAATCAGATTTGGCCAGCCAATGCAACCACAGGTAAAATGTTCAACATTTAGGCTCGGTCTGTTTAGGTGTAAAATATTTTCTAAAAAATATTTTTTTATTTTTTTGGTGTTTGATTGTCAGTCAAATATTTACGAAGAAAAAAAATATTAAAATTTAACAAATATAACTTATCCATCAACTTTCAATAAGTTATTTTACACTCCCGTCTGATGGACTTGACTTCAACCTCGACCTAAACCTCTGCCAAACACCGAATAAGTAAAAATAAAAAAATATTTTACCTAAAAAAGGAAAATCTTTTTCAAAAAAAAATATTTTACGTCGAAACAAACCCAGCCTTACTTTTTCATTCTTTACTTATGCTTTATGAGTTTAATCACGCATGCTCATAAAATTTTAAGGTTTTCTCTTCTTTAGGATGTCCATTAGATTGCCTTCTTTTTTTCTTTTTCTTTTTTAAAAAGATGTATTTTGATCTTTAATATATTATTAATTTTCTTTTTGTGCAAAACTTGCAGATATAAAATTTATATCGAAGGATCTGCTTGGTCTGTAAGTGAAAAATATATTCTTGCCTGTGATTCCGTTACCTTTCTAATAAAGCCACAATACTATGATTTCTTCACGAGAAGTTTGATTCCTGTGTACCACTACTGGCCCATAAGGAATGACACCAAGTGCAAATCTATTAAGTTCGCTGTTGACTGGTGCAACCATCACAAACAAAAGGTAATTCTCATATTCAAGCTTGTCTAGAAAATGCAATGCATGAAACTACATCCACATTTACTTACTGTAATCACTTTTGGTGGGTATTATCAGGATCAAGTAAAATAATAATAATAATAATAATAAACCAAAAACAAAAAAAAGAAGCAAAATCGGAGCTTTTTGTACTGCTAATTTTCCAACTAAATCTGTCTTCTCCATGGATTTACCAGGCACAAGATATCGGCAAGACAGCAAGTGGTTTCGTTCAAAAGGAGTTGAAGATGGAGTATGTGTATGACTACATGTTTCATCTCTTAAATGAATATGCAAAGCTCTTGACTTACAAGCCAGCAGTACCTGAAAAAGCAACTGAACTCTGTTCGGAGACAATGGCTTGCCCTGCAAATGGATTGGAGAAGAAGTTTATGACGGAATCCATGGTGAAGGGTCCTACATATACAAGTCCATGCAAAATGCAACCTCCTAATCATCCCACTGCTTTTAATTCACTGCTTAGAAGAAAAGCAAACATAATAAATAAAGTTGAATCATGGGAGAGGAGTTACTGGGAGCTTCAAAATAAGCACAACTAGGGAGTAACTATATTGGATATATTTTTTATTATATATATATATGAATATATTTAGTTTTAGTTTCTATATTAATTACATTATATTTGAGTACTTTTCTGAGTAATAATAAAAAAAGAAAAATTCCAAAATTGAAGTGCCAATGTTTTAACATTTACGTAACATTATTTTGTTGTGATCCGTGAAGGTAAACTTGCATACATCTGACTCTCCTTAAATCAAAGATTCGTGCACTGAGCCATTTAATTGCGGGGGTTGGTATTGTTAGTTTAGGGTGTTGTCTTGTGTTGTTGGTTGTAATTGAAATTTTCCTCTTTCTTTGGCTTTTATTCTTATGAGTTGGTATGCCAACTTTTGCTGAGAAAGGTCTGTAGGGCATACATGGTGGTTGTAGCTTAAATTAATATTCTTAAAAACAGTGCAACTTTCAATGGTAGTAAGTACAAGGTTCTGGTGAAGTTTCATTAAATATATACCCCTACTTGCGTAAAGGCTTTAAACTTTTGTTTTCCTTAAAAACCTACTAGGCCAAAATATTTACCGTATTATTTTTATTTTCGATTAATTATACTCATCTCTCTTGCAGATTGTCTAAATGACAAAAATCTTACTCATAGTTTTTGTTGATGTAAAAATTTACACAGTTTAGAGCGGGGGTATTTCTTACAAGACAATAGAGAAGTGACGGCCGGTATAGTGTCGGACGGTTAAGTTAATACTTAACGATTGAATATCCTAAAAAAAATAATTAAATATTTGATTTTTGGCGTACCTTTCTATATTGACCAATAACTATTTTTATAATAGTTTTAATGGTGGTAGTGTTTTGTCATGAAACCAATTCATTTTTCTTATCCATCACGAATTGGAAGAGTCATGAGAGGGTGGTAGTAGTTATCTTTATCTCTTTGAGTTTATATATACCGTTTGGGTTTCTGTTTCACTTGAACTTTCTATCCCGTCAAATATTTGGTATCAGTTTCAAATATAACATTGACGTCCTATTTCAGTATTGATTTTGACCAATGTGTTAATATTACTATTATACCCATTATAATTTTATTAGTTCAACATATAAATATAATAGCATTTTCAAATTTTTTAATGACATTCTCGAATTTTAAATAAATTTTGAATAAAACGTCAGCAGACACAAGTTTTTAGGAAGTAATTGTAATTATTCCTTTTATTTATTTTTTTTTTTTCCAACCAAACACGATTCAAAATAAATGATAAACTCTACTGCTCCAATGCCAGACACGCTGAAAAATGGAATAGATTTGGAGTGAACGTATGTCTGGATTAATATCTTAATGTTACAGATTTAAATTCAAGTCAAATTTTATAAATACAATTTTTTTTAGGGTGAATGGCATTAAACCTTCCTTTCCTATATGGGTTTTGCATTAAACCCCCATTTTTTTTTATTATTTTTCTAAAAAAGTTCCTTCAATTATTCAGGAGTTGATTTAATCGATGGAAGTTAGCTAAAAAGAAACTGTTTGGATAATGAGTTTTCTCATATACTATTTTTTAGACAAAAACAACTCTATACCTATTTTAATATACCCCCCACACACACACATATATATATACACACACACATTCCATTATCACTCTTTGTTGCATATCCTCCACCATTACAGTAACACGTACTCAACTTGTTATATTTACCCACATATATGTGTGTGTGTGTGTGTGTGTGTGGACAATACTTAGGTCCATATATGTTGATGTTAATTTTTATGAATGATGTAGTAGTTTAGGTTATTTAATAAATAAAAAATTCAAGATGCACTTACAAAAGTAGATTTTTAAATATGCTAATGGTTAATTAAGTCAATTTTTATTTCAATTCCCTTTCTTGCTAAGTCCCCCTGATAGTTGAGTGTTTTTTTATTAGCAAAAAAATTGAATAGTTGAGGATTTTTTTAACAAAAGAAATTAAAAAGAAGAGTTTAGTGCAAAATGCAAATTAAAAAAAAAAAAAAAAAAGTTTAATGTAGTTCATCATTTTTTTAATCATAAATACAATTCATATCCGCCTTATATTATAATCTGTAAGTAATCCAAATAAAATACATTTCAAAAGAAAAAAAAAATAAGGGCGATAAAATGGAATTGGAATTGGAATTGAGTCCGCTCATGAGTTAAACCAAATATATTGGATGCCAGACGACAGCAAAGGTGATTGAAATAATTGGTCATTTATTTATTTAACTTTTCTAGGAAGGTCACCCAATTAAATTTCATAAAAAAATACACTCGCCAAGTTTATTTCTCCGTATAATAGAAAGATAGAAGACAAATTTGTGAGAAAATCCAAACCACCCTTTTGAGTAAATTACATAAAAACTTTCTAAGAAATTTGTATATTACCCAAATAATAATGATGGCCATTAAATTTCCTATCTTTATTTTTATTTCAATGTGGTCTGTCCATTCCTTTGTACGAGTCTAAACACAGTCAACAAAATGGTCAAGATTAGCACGCTAATTGTTTGTTATGTAAATTAGGGTGGCAATTCGTATTCGTGTATTGTGTTTGAGTCGTGTGGGTGTAAGAATATTATATTAAATAGGTAAATTTAGTCTTGTGAGTATAAGAATATTATATTAAATAGATAAATTTAAACTCAACTCATTTAATAATTTTGTCAAGAATTTTCAGTACTAACTCAACCCGAATTAAATACTAAATAATAGAAAAATATATATATATCATAATTAATTCAAGTATTCAAAAAAAAAAAAAAAAATCATAAGGCATCCGATAAAGTATATGTTGAAAGACTTAATTATCCATATTAATTGAGTTTAAACAGATAACATATTATATATATGTCATATTTATGATTATAACATGTTGAGTTAAATGAGTGATAAACAGATTATATGGATTGAAATTTTAAAACCTAACTCGATACGATTAAGTAAACGAGTTAATTTAATCGTGTCGACCCTTTTATAATCTAGACTTATTTATGTTAAATCCATATTCTTCTACCTCGTTTGATGTTTATGTCGTAATTTGCCTATGTAATGCTAAGATGTTCTATATGAGTGTTTTTTTCGTGGCTAACTCTAGCACACAATAATAATTGATTTGGAAGAGTTTTTTTATTTTTTAAATAAGAAGTAAAATGGTCCTTCGACCCCTTCCACAAATAATTACTTTTTTTTCCGGAAATTTACAAAGATTAGAATTACTGTATTGAATTATTACTACTTTAACAACACGATAAGCCCTCTGGTACGAATCAAACCTAGGCATAGTTTAACTTTATTCATCTTTACAATGCGGCGAGGACAGCTTGCGCGGCTTTTGTTGTTGACTTTCTCTCTCCTTACCTTTCCTCTTTCACAAACCTGCAATTATAGAAGCAAGAAGTAGTACTACTCCAAACCAAAAAATTCACTATACCATCACGAGATCCACCCCTTGTTAGTAAGTTCTCCGTGCCTTCTCCGCTCATCACTTTCTCTCTCTTCCCAACTTTACTCTCTCTCTCTCTCTCTCTCTGAAATACTACTACTTCGGAGTACTATCTAACTTGCTGGTCCTATCTCGTTTTACTTTCAGGCCTTCCGTCCATATATTTCCACTTTCTGCCTTTTTTTCATTTACTTTTCCATTTTTTCTTTCTTTTTCTTTTTCCGTTTAACGTCGATCCGCCTAAAATTTGAATAACTTTTGTTTCTAGTACTTGATCGACTTGATTAGTCTTTCAGAATCTGTGAAAATTTGATCAAATTACATCACCGTCGTCTTTCATCTTCTTTCTCTCTCTAGAATGTACCAAAATTAGTTCATTTATTGTGCGATCAAATCACTTAATTTATTGAAGTGAGTGATGATCTTCAGAACTATTATTACGAGTCACTTCAAACGGTTCGACAAGTGTCGTAACTGAGTCGGCTGTTTTGAGAGAGAGCGAGAATATGCAGGGATTTCAGAGGCATTTGATGTTCGGATCTGGACTTTATAGACATTTCACAGAGACAATCTGGCGTCCATTATTGACTATCAAGAAACTCCCTGCAAGATCTCCTCTTGTCTTCTTCTCCTTCCTCCTCCTCTTCCTCGGCGCGTTTATCTCCACGCGCTTGCTCAGCTCTACTGTAACTGTAAGTTTTTTTTTTTTTTGAAATTTTTTTTGTTGACTTTGCTCAGCTCAACAAGAAAATCAATACATTTTTTCTTTTTTTAACAATAATTTTGAATTTTATACTATAGATTTTGTCAAGAAATAATACAACCAAGGTGAAATCTGCACCGTACAAGTCAGAGGATGAACCAAACGTCATCGTCCTGTCTTGATTTTTTCCCACAATTACCGCGAGATTTCTTGGTTTCCTAACTCACGCCGATAGTGTCGGTTACTCTTTTTTCTACGGAAAAAAGCAATTAAAAAGTCACGTTGGCACTTCGCGACGTGTTATGTGATGCAAGCTTAGACTTAGCATGTTGTTTTGTTGTGGACATGTATAGATTTTTATTTTATTTTATTTTATTATATATTTTTTTTCAAACACACCCCACTAATTTTTATTTTTTTGCAATTATAGGAGGAATAGAATGGAAATAATAAAATAATGATTGTTATTGTTGTTACAGAGTTACACACCTGTACATAAATTGCCCACCAAACTCAAACCCTCAATTGTTATGGAACCCTTATCTCCCTTTTGATGGAGGAGAGATTTTAACATTGAGCTGTCCATTGATAATAATGTTAGGTTCCATGTTTTGATTATCTATTGTGTAAATTGTAATATAATTCCCTTTTTTTCTCAAATAAATCAGTTGCTTCATGTAACATTAGGAAAATAAAGAAATTATGTTTTAATATCAGGAGAATGATAAAAGATTGAATTGGTCTTTGTCATCCATTGATATGGCAATGGAAAATGAGAAACGATTCAATTGATCTTTGTCATCCATTGATGTAGCAATCATCGGACATCGCATTACTTGTAATATTATGATCGCTATCCAGTGATACATGTTCACAATTGGATTTTTTTTTTCCCTTGTTGCAGTCTGTCGCTGATAATTCCCCACAGAAAACGATACTGACCACTAGAACAGCCCACACTTACACTCATAAATCACCTCCCAAAATCCTCAATAAGCCGCTGCCGCCTAAGAAAATTGAAATTCCTCTCAACTGCTTAGCCACAGTCGGTAATCTCACACGAACCTGCCCACCAAATTATTACCCAAAAAAGTTCCATCCAGAAGATCATGACCGTGATCAATCGAAAACTCCGACATGCCCTGATTACTTCAGTTGGGTCCACGAAGATCTACGGCCATGGAGGGACACGGGGATCACGGCGGAGATGGTGGAGAGAGCCAAGAGGACGGCCAACTTCAAACTAGTGATTGTGGATGGGAGGGCCTATGTGGAGAAATATCAAAGGGCTTTCCAGAGCAGAGATGTTTTTACACTGTGGGGAATCCTACAGTTGTTACGGAAGTACCCCGGGAAGGTGCCTGATTTGGAGCTGATGTTTGACTGCGTTGACTGGCCGGTCATCAGATCGAGGGACTATCGTGGGCCCAATGCCACGGCCCCACCGCCACTGTTTCGATATTGCGGGGATGATGCCACACTGGATATTGTTTTCCCAGACTGGTCCTTTTGGGGTTGGTACGTGCATGTGCTTATGCCTAGTAATGGTGATATATTATGTTATTTTTAATTTTTTACTAGGTAGTATAATTAATCAAATTAAATATTTTTTAAGCAAAGATATGATGTTCTCTGAATACTAATGAACACTAGTGATCCCATTCGGACCTTTCAAATTGTTGGTCTCCAAATGATTTCCCATTATGGCATCTACACGTTTAGATTTAATTAATTGCTAAATAAAATGACAACATTTCACCGTTATATTGAAGTTTTTCCACTTCTATGATGTACTTCACTTGTAAACACATTTCCAAGATGATTTTTTTCTTTTTATTTTCTGTTTTGTAATGAATTTGTAGGCCAGAAATCAACTTAAAGCCATGGGAGGCATTGTTGAGGGACCTAAAAGAAGGAAACAAGAGAAAAAGATGGATGGATAGAGAACCTTATGCATACTGGAAGGGCAATCCAATTGTTGCTGCTACCAGAATGGATCTCATGAAATGTAATGTCTCTGACAAACAGGACTGGAATGCTCGTGTCTATGCCCAGGTAACACCTACTAACATTGCGTTTTATATCATTTTTACTTATAAATTATTGACATTATTGTGTACTAGAAAAAAACAGTAGCATTATTAAGCTATGTGACTAGAAGGCAGAAAAAGAAACAAAAAACAATACATTCATGTACTTGAGATCTTCCTTGCTGGAATGATTGATCTGTTGTTTTAGTCTCCTTGTGGAGTGCTGTTGGTATTTTGAGTGTACTCAGAGGGGTATGCCCCTCTTATTTATGTACATATGTTTTTGTTTAATAGATAGCTCAATTATAAAAAAATAAAAAATAAGAATAATAAGATGGATGATAAAAGTGACTAGAAGAGGTAGGAGTGACATAATTATTGAGTGGTGCCTATTAGTGGTAAAATAAGAGAAATTAAACTCATGTGGTAATTAAAAAAAAAAAAAGTAGACTCAAGTTGCAATAACAGAAGAAAAAGTAGACTCACTTGTTACGAACATGTATAAAGTAAACCCAAAGATGCATCAGTAAGAAAAGGGGGATTGGTCTGCGTTGAAGAAAAGAGATAAAAAGACCTACCAAAGCTAACGTGGATGATTTTAAAAATATAAATATAAAAAGAGAAATGACCTTTTATAGAAAATAATATAAAAAGAGAATTCATGTGGCCAACCTATTCATATGGGATAAATAATAGTATCATCTATATATTTAACTAATCTAATTGGTCCAAGAGATCGAAATTGTAAGATAATATGCCTTTACAATGTAGCATGCCCAATTACATAGACCAAATTGAACTATAAAATTGAAAGATGATGATTTATAATAATGCAGGACTGGATTCGAGAATCACAGCAAGGCTACAAGCAATCAGATTTGGCAGGTCAATGTATTCACAGGTAAAAGACTCATTTCACTATTGGTCTCTATTCTTGTGTGTCAATACACGCGATCCCCTATGTTTTGTTTATTTGGTTTTAAAATTTTCAGGTTCCCCTTATTCTGGATGGTCACTTGATTGTTTCTGTTTTAATTTTAGCCTTTTATCATATATTTTCTGGATGCATTTTGATTTTTTGATTTCCTATGCAACACTTGCAGATATAAAATTTATATCGAAGGATCTGCATGGTCTGTAAGTGAAAAATACATTCTTGCTTGTGATTCCGTTACCTTAATAGTGAAGCCCCGTTACTATGATTTCTTCACAAGAAGTTTGAACCCGGTGCACCACTACTGGCCCATTAGGGTTGACGACAAGTGCAAATCTATTAAATTTGCAGTTGACTGGGGCAACAGCCACAAACAAAAGGTAATTCTCATATCTAAGGCTTGTCGTACGTACGCAACAAATGGAACTACACCCACAACAAATTTAGTATCTTTTCTTGTTTTGAATATTGAAAAAAATAAAAAAAAAATAAAAAAATCACACTTTAGTCTAAAAGACCAAGCCTGGATTCTTAAGAGCCATTAGTAAATAAAGCAATGAAGGATTTGTCATTTAGTGGCTTCTTCTATAAATCATGATTGAATAAAATTAAGACCATTTCTTTGAGATTTCTGTGAGTCCTTTAAGGAAAGAAGAAAGAATCATTCTCTAAAATGTCATAATTTCTTTGATTGTATCACATATCATATGATTATCCTAAAATTTTCACTAACTAGAATTTCTTGCACACTTGAGTCTATAGACCATAGTAGAATTTTTATGCTGTCATTTTTGGAGATGCATGTGTGAAGTTATGTTACATGGACCGTTCAAAAAGTAAATGAAGTACCTTTGTCGGACAAACAGTACTCTGACATGGGTATGGAATGTGTTCGATACTTTTTTGGTAGGACATACACCTGCAAACATATTCAATAATTCAATTTTATTATATTATTACTTCAAAAAGAAATGAATTGCCAATATTGAACACTAAGATACATAAGGGCATTATTTTACTCTAAAAAATAAAATAAAATATTAAATAATTTGAATATTAAGCAGTGTTCAAGTGTCGTGTTAGGGATGTGACACATCTGACATGTGGATACAAACCCGTTACCAACACACATACCCGAGTCCATATTACACAGCTGTGAAGTAGAGATGGATTCGTTTTAAATGCCCTCATTTTAGGAAATTGTCAATGCTTTGAATTTACTATGATCAAATAATATTAAGTGTTTCCTTGGGATATGGTAGTCCTTAAGAGAAAGATAACCATTCTCTAAAATGTCATAATTTCTTTGATTGTATCACATATCATATGATCAGGCTGACAGGTTTGAGTTTCAAGTCTCAAAATAGGCACTTTGTGCAAAATATTGTCCAATGTGAGGTCCGTTTCTCTAGTGTTCCCCTTTGTGGACCAGAGAGTAGGTAATGAGGACCATGTTATTTATACAAAAGATTTTCTTCGTAACAAAAAGTCTAGTTGTCGTCCACGAATTTAGTAATAATTGATGAGAGAATATTTTTTTCTTGCATCTTCTTTTCTTTTCCTCTTTTTGGATTTGGTATCGAAAAGATCAAGTATAACTGCAGCTGTTCTGCACTATAATTTTGTGTTGAGTTCTCTCTCACTTTATATGGATTTAACAGGCACAAGCCATTGGCAAGGCAGCAAGTGATTTCATTCAAGAGGATTTGAAGATGGAGTATGTGTATGACTATATGTTTCATCTCTTAAATGAATATGCTAAGCTCTTGAGATTTAAGCCCAAGGTACCTCAAAAAGCAGTTGAACTTTGCTCAGAGACAATGGCTTGCCATGCAAAAGGATTAGGGAAGAATTTTATGGTGGAATCTTTGGTAAAGAGTCCCTCAGACTCGACACCTTGCGCATTGCCTCCGCCTTACGATCCTCTCGCTCTTCGCTCATCTCTTAAAAGAAAAGCAAATTCAATAAAGCAAGTAGAGTTATGGGAGAAGAATTACTGGGACAGTCAAACTAAGCAGAGCTAGGAAGGCATCTTTATTGTATTTACGATAAGACAAAAAAAAAAAAAAAAAAAAAAAAAAAAAAAAAAAAAAAAATGAATGTATTTAGTTTTAATCCGCGGCTTAATTTGTTCCTTCATATCTTCATATCTATATCTTGATGAGCGGTAATAAGAAAAGCAAAATGAAAATTTTAAAATGATTTAATGTTTTTCGGCATTTAAGAAATAGAATTATTCTATTGATGTGGAAGTTAATCATCAATTCTGATAAATTGAAGTATATTATTGAAGTACGATGATGACATATACAGTACTTGTAGTCAATCTTTGCAAACAGGAAAGTACTTGCATCTGCAACCGACCTTGATATCTCAGTGGGTATTAAGATTCTTTATATGTTACAATTTTTGGCCTTGCGCTTTTCTTGAAACTGTATCTTCACCAAGGAGTAGGCCAAGCTGAGTATTGTGTTGATCAAGCTTAGTTCCTTAAAATTTTGTTGAGTTTCAGATAAGCCCTAGGTTTAACTCGAGTTTAAAAACAAGCTCCTTAAAATTTTGCTGAGACATATATATATATATCAAGCTTGTTTTTAAACATGTAAGTATATAAAAAGAAAAAATATGACAATTTTAGAATCAATATAAAACAAATGACCTAGTTTGTATGAGAAAAATCAAAATGCTTTGATGTGAGAGCTTGAAAACTCTTGGAGAGCCTTCGACGGGAATGCAAAATGGAACACCATTAAGTCCACACGGTATGCCTCCATTCCATTAATGAATTGTTGAATTTTCCACAACCTGTAATTTTCCACAACCTGTAATTAGTTGAACACCATTAAGAACAGGGTTTTCTACGATCACAATTAAATTTCCATTCCTCTTTGGCCACTCTATGCAGGATTGATTAGATCTTAAAAGAAAAAAAAAGTCTGTATTCCATTAATGAATAGTTGAATATTCCACCAAGTGAGCGTTAAATGTCCTTGGAAAGAATTGACACGAGTTGCGCTAGTGCAATTTACCATATATACATACATACATATATATGTTACACGAACGCTTCAAAATGTAAATGAAGTACCTTTGTCACACACGCAGTACTCTGGCATGACTATAGGATGTGTTCGATACTTTTTTGATAGGACATACACCTGAAAACATATTAAATAATTTAATTTATTATATTATTACTTCAAAAAGAAATGAACTGCCAATATTAAACACTAAGTTACATAAGGACATTATTTTACGCTAAAAATATTAAATAATATGAATTTTTAGCAGTGTTCAAGTGTCCTTCTGTTTTGGAATGTGACATGTTTTGGCATGTGGATACCAAACCTGACACACATACCCGAATACACGTAACACAATTGTGAAGTAGAGATGGATTCGCCCTAAATGACCTCATTTTAGGAAATTGTCGATGGTTTAAAGTTACTATGATCAAATAATATTAACACCATTTCCTTGGGATATTGTTAGTCCTCCTATAAGAGAAATATAACCATTCTCTAAAACATCATGAAATTTGTGATTTTTATAAATCATGTGACATTCAAAATATTTTCACAATGTGATTTGTTAGGATTGATATTGGCCATTTCTTGGTTCAATGACAAAAGCTCAGGCTGACAGGTTTAAGATTGCGGTTTCAAGTCCCAAAATAGGCAGTGTCCAATGTGAGCTCCGTTTTCCAACCTTTTAGGCCCAAAGTAGATAATGAGGACCATGTTATTATACACAAGATTTTTCATAACAAAAAGTCTAGCAGAATCCAACCTTTTGTGCACTTCATTTCTTCAAGATATGATGCCACCAGGAAACCTAGCTTAAGCTGAATTTTCTCTTGTTGTCCATGAATTTACTAGGAACAATTGATGAGATAATATTTTTTTCTTGTTTCTTATTTTCTTTTCCTTTTTTGGTATCGAACAGATCAAAGTGTAACTGAAGCTGTTTTGCACTTCATTATTTCGTGTCGCTTTATATGGATTTACCAGGCACAAGCCATTGGCGAGGCAGCAAGTGATTTCACACGAGGATTTGAAGATGGAGTACGTGTATGACTACATGTTTCATCTCTTAAATGAATATGCTAAACTCTTAAGATTTAAGCCCAAGGTACCTCAAAAAGCAGTTGAAATTTGCTCAGAGACAATGGCTTGCCATGCAAAAGGATTAGGGAAGAATTTTATGATGGAATCTTTGGTAAAGAGTCCCTCAGACTCTAACACCTTGCGCATTGCCTCCTCCTTATGATCCTCTCGCTCTTTGCTCATCTCTTAAAAGCAAATTCAATAAAACAAGTAGAGTTATGGGAGAAGAATTACTGGGACAGTCAAACTAAGCAGATCTAGGAAGGTATCTTTTATGTATTTACGATAAATAAAAAATAAAAAAAAATGAATGTATTTAGTTCTGATCCGCGGCTTTGTTACTTCATATCTATATCTTGATGAGCAGTAATAAGAAAAGCAAAATGAAAAATTTAAAATGTTTTAATGTTTTTCGGCATTTAAGAAATAGAATTATCCTATTGATGTGGAAGTTAATCATCTATTCTGATAAGTTGAAGTATATTATTGAAGTATGATGATGACATATATAGTACTTGTAGTCAATCTTTGCAAACAGGAAAGTACTTGCATCTGCAACCGACCTTGATATCTCAGTGGGTATTAAGATTCTTTATATGTTACAACTTTTGGCCTTATGCTTTTCTTGAAACTGTATCTTCACTGAGGAGTAGGCCAAGCTGAGTATTGTGTTGATCAAGCTTAGTTCCTTAAAATTTTGCTGAGTTTCAGACAAGCCCTAGGTTTAACTTGAGTTTAAAAACAAGCTCCTTCAAATTTTGCTGATATATATATATCTATCAAGCTTGTTTTTAAACATATAATTATATACAAAGAAAAAATATGACAATTTTAGAATCAATATAAAACAAATGACCTAATTTGTATGAGAAAAATCAAAATGCTTTGATGTGAGAGCATGAAAGCTCTTGGAGAGCCTTTGACGGGAATGCAAAATGGAACCACACGGTATTCCTCCATTCCATTAATGAATGGTTGGATTTTCCACAACCTGTAATTTTCATCCATTCCATGAATGAATAGTTGAATTTTCCACAACCTGTAATTTTCATTGGTATGAAGAACAGGGATTTCTACGATCACAATTGAAATTTCCATTCCTCCTTGGCCACTCTACGCTGGAATACAAATTGATTAGATCTTAAAAGAAAAAAAAGTCGGTATTTTGTGTCCCACTGTCCCAATATTCCACCAAGTGAGCCTTAAACTTCCTTGGAAAGAATCGACACGAAGAAGCTGAGCAAGTCACCACACCCTTACATACGCAATGAATTAACCGAAGTGTGTGGACACCTCTCTATAAAACCCACACAGTTATTATCTTCTTATTCATCTTCCTTCCATCATCATGGACAGCTCCATCACAACTTTTACAAAGTTTCTGCTTGCTTTTGTCATCATAGCAACAACTATTAGCATTAAAGGCCTGTGTACTCCAAACTCAGATGCAGTTTGCATTCAAAGTGAGAGACAAGCCCTCCTGAGGTTTAAGCAACATCTTAAAGATCCTTCCAATAGGCTCTTGTCTTGGACCATCCAACAAGACTGCTGCAAATGGGCTGGAGTTGTTTGCAACAACTTAACCGGTCATGTCCAGAAGCTCCACCTTCGTGCTACTCCATCTGACTTTTTTTCTTCAGACGACTTAAAGTTGGGCGGTAACATTGATGCTTCTTTGATAAACTTGAAGCATCTGCGTTACCTGGACCTAAGCAACAATGAGTTTGGAGGAATTCGAATTCCCGGATTCATTGGTTCTCTGAAAAGTTTAAGATATCTGAATCTCTCTCTTGCAGGATTTGAAGGGGTGATTCCACATCAGCTTGGAAATCTCTCCAGCTTGCGCTATCTTATTCTTGGAGATTTCAATTCCTATTACTCCAATTACAATTCCTTGCAGAGTGGTGAGAATCTTGAGTGGCTTTCGGGGCTTGCTTTGCTACAGCACCTGGACATGAGTGGGGTGAACTTGAGCAGAACATATGACTGGCCGCAGGTGATGAACGCCCTACCTTGTTTGGTTGAATTACATTTGTCCTATTCTAGTCTTTCTCACTTTGTTCCGCCGTTACCTCCTGTTAATTTTACGTCTCTTAGAGTCCTTGATATTTCTGGCAATAGTTTTGGTTCTCTGTTACCTATTGATTGGTTGTTCAGTATAAAAGGCCTCATCTCTCTTAATCTACGTTACAATATTTTGCAAGGTCCAATTCCAAGTGGTCTTCTTAACATGTCTAGTACTCTTGTACATCTCGATCTGTCCGGAAATCATTTGAATTCTACCATACCCACTTGGTTGTACAGCTTTAAGCGTCTCGAGTCCCTTGACCTTGGTTCCAATTCTCTGCAAGGTGTGATCTCTAGTGCCATTGGAAATTTGACTTCTCTCATTGAAATCCACCTATCATTCAATGAACTTGAAGGTAAAATACCAAGTGAATTACAAAATCTTTGTAACTTGAAGGCGATTGATTTGGCAGTTAACCGATTTCGTGGAGAGGTATCACAAGTGTTTAAAAGTTTGTCCGTATGTGCTATAGATGCTTTGGAGTCGTTGGAATTATTTTCCAATCAACTTTCTGGTCATTTAACAGATCACCTTGGACACTTTAAAAGTTTGCGCTCCCTCGATCTATCGAGTAATCTAATTTCCGGTACCATTCCCGAAAATCTTGGACACCTTTCAAAGTTGGAATTCCTTTCGATCGTTGATGATTTGTTGGAAGGGGTTGTTTCTGAAGTTCACTTTGCTAGTCTTGCAAATTTAAAATACTTATATGCGTATCAAAATTCATTGACTTTGCAGTTGAGTCCAAACTGGATCCCACCCTTCCAACTTGAAGAAATACAGTTGAGTTCTTTGCGTGTGGGACCAGAATTTCCTACGTGGCTTCGATCACAAAAAGAAATTTCAATCTTGGTCCTATACAATTGCTGCATATCAGATGAGATTCCCTCTTGGTTTTGGAACTGGTCTTCCTCCGCTTATTATGTAAACCTTGCTCACAACCAAATCCATGGACAGATCCCATACATTCCAAAATTTGATTATTATTTCTCAGTAGTTGACTTGAACTCCAACAAATTTAGCGGTCCATTACCCATTGTCTCTCCTAATATAATTGAACTAGATCTTTCCAACAATTCATTTTCAGGAGAAATTTCTAACTTCCTGTGTCACTCCAGTCACAAACCGCATCAACTGGTATATCTTAATCTTGATGAAAATCTTTTGTCCGGAGATATTCCAGATTGTTGGATGAATTGGCAGTCGCTAGAATCCATCAATCTACAAAAAAACAATTTCAATGGGACCATTCCAAGCTCCATGGGATTTCTAAGTAGTCTACAACTCATCAATCTACAAAATAACAATTTCACTGGGACCATTCCAAGCTCCATGGGATTTCTAAGTAGTCTACTACTCATCAATCTACAAAATAACAATTTCACTGGGACCATTCCAAGTTCCATGGGATTTCTAAGTAGTCTACAATCATTACACATGCGCAACAATAGCCTCTCTGGAGAACTACCTTTATCTTTACAAAATTGCACAGATTTATTGACAATTGACTTGGGTGAGAATAAGTTTGTTGGAAGCATACCATCGTGGATTGGGAAAAGGCTTTCAAAATTGATGGTTCTTAGACTTCGATCAAATAAATTTGATGGCAAAATTCCTCCTGAGATTTGTCACCTCGCATCTCTTCAACTCTTAGATCTTGCATACAACAATTTGTCGGGAGCAATACCGCGGTGTATCAACAAATTCACTGCCATGGCACTGAAAGGGAACTTATCCACTGGTCGTCTCATTATTCGATCCAATCATAGTGCTTGGTTGGAGATTGCAATTGTTGTAACAAAAGGAAGAGAGATTCAATATGACACCATTCTCAGATTTGCAACCAGCATGGACCTTTCAAGCAACAACTTATCCGGAGAGATCCCCGAGGAGGTAACAAGTCTCTTGGTCTTGCGATCGCTGAATTTATCGGGAAATCATTTGACAAGTTTGATTCCAAGTACGATTGGTAATATGGTACTGTTAGAGTCTCTTGATCTCTCAAGGAACCAACTTTCTGGTGAAATCCCAACAAGTATGTCGGATATGACATTTTTGAATTACTTGAATCTGTCACATAATTACTTGTCAGGGAAAATTCCATTGAGCACTCAACTCCAGAGCTTCAATATTTCTAGCTTCATTGGGAACGACCTTTGTGGACCTCCCGTCACAAACAATTGCCGTGTGAATGAAGTAATCCCCAAGATTCAAAATGGAGGAGACAAAAGAAATGAAGCTAAAGTGGATTGGTTTTATTTGAGTTTGGCGCTAGGATTTGTAGTTGGTTTTTGGGGTGTCTGCGGTCCCTTATTATACAACAAATCGTGGAGATTTTCCTATTTTCATTCTTTAGATCGCATGTGGTACAAAATTACCGGTTGTATTAGTAATAAGGTCTAAACTATCCATAGATTCCAACAGTTAATTGAATGCTGTGTTTTAGGCCTTCACATATAATAAAACTGCTACTTTTATGGGGGTGGGGTTGGTACTGTGCTTCTTTTATTTTAAATGTCTGATATATTATGGTTGAAATCTTTGCGAGTGTCTAGTATTTATGGTTGAAGTACTATTTATGACTCTCTATATGTGACACACACACACATATATATATATTGGTAATTAAGCATTATATAATTCAAACAAAATATGTACAAATATTCCCCGTTCAAAAATTATTACATGGTATTAAGCAAAAAAATTATTGAAAGTGGTATAAAGCTGACACATTTATTTATGTGTCACTTTGTGGTTGATCCGGACCATATAATAATTTTTCCAAAACTAGAGCCAAAACAGATATAGAACTTCAACAATTGTTACCCTTTTCTTTATCATCATTGTGAAGCAAACATGGTCCACCTAGTCGATTCAGTCTTAAACTTAGAAACTCTAGTGTATACGCAGAGCTTCGTGTGGACAAATTGTGTGTAAGATGACAAAGTCAAAGTGACTGAGTGAGTCTGTTGTATTCCAAATCTAAACTGATCCCAAGGGAAGAGAAGCAGCAGAATTGCAGAAAGGAAAGGCTTGAAAGAAAAAAAAAAAAAAAAATCATAATATTGCATTACAACTATACGGTTTAGTATAGACCAACGTAACCAAAAATACAATAATATTGCTCACAAAAAATGTGACAAATCAGCAAAGAATGATGATCACAATAATATTGCTCACAAAATGTGACAGTCTGCAAAGAGGGCTACAATCGGAATGCTCTTCCTTGTACAATGTCGAGGCTCATTTCACTAGGATCCGTTGCTTGCAACTCAACTTGAATACCATCCAATTCCCTCTTGAATCTATCCTTGGAGCTAGCATAAACCATCTTCATTCTCACCTTTGCTGTATCTGGTGACCTAAAAATACAAGAAAATAAATTAATCCATAAACTATTCTGAATGCGTCTCAATTGAGTATAATGCTCATTATTTACAATGTCCTGTGTGGGACTCGAACTCTCAAGCTCCACCTTTGGGAAGGAGAGATCATGCCGTTGCATAACGCTCATTATCCCTCTTGTTTTTCATGTACTAGCCTTGTCATAACAAGTAATTGCACAGCCAAAAGACATTTGTACAGACTCAACTTTGTCAATAGAAAACCGTAAAAAACTAGCAATTGCACATTAATGTCTTTGGCTTCATATGGAGTATAAATATGTTTGCCTAGTTCTGTCTAAACAGCCTATAATACAAATTCGACGAGAAATTATTACATGATGTGTCAGAATAGTAATAGTTTTTTATTAATTTGTCATGTGTTGGTTGGCCGGGAACATAGTTTCAGGAGCATGTAATAATTTTTGCAAATGACAGGCATTTTGCCAAATGCTAGTTTTCTCTTTTGGGTCATGCCAAATGTAGAGCCAATAGCAAATAAAATGTGTCACTATAATTTCTTAATGCATATGTAATTTCAAGTTAAATCTTTGAGATTGAAAAACAAAATGACTGATTAAAATTACCAAGCAATGAAGAAAATCTTGCTTTTCTGGCAATTTTCATCAGTGACGAAATCCAAATCAAAGACAGCATAGCGACACTCATCGGCAGGTAGAGAAGCAGTGAAATCATCATAGCTTTCATCTGGATTCCCCAACTTCTCCACAACCACTTGTTGACCCTCAATCTTGAAGATAATGAACCTGTAGTTCCTCTTTGTTTTTAATTCCAAGAACTGCAGCTTACAGTCATCTTGCACAGCCATTCCAGACACCGCATTCGCCTAACCAGAAAAAATGAAATAAAATGGTAATAATTTTGTTACAAAAAATGCTAACATAAACAGTTATTCGCATCGACTGCATTAGGCCTTGTGATAGATGACTAATGTTTTACATAATGTGTGATATCACCTTGGTTGTTTTTTTAGGCATCTGAAGCACTTTTCAAACTATGAAATGAGAAACATCCATATATAAACTACTCCGTGACGGAAATAAAACACAAAACAAAAGAAGAAGGAAAAAAAAAAAATAGTAATAATTATAAAATAAATAGATAAAAGGCCATGCTACGGCTTTTTGATCATCAACATGAATTTCTTTTTCTTTTTTCCGTAATAAATGTAGCTTTAACATTCATTATAGTCGCTCAAATAACAAATATGGCTTTAATGTTCATTATAATCGCTCAAATAACAAATGTAGCTTTAACGTTGAACAAAAAGTAATTGTGGTAATATGTCTGATTAGATCTTGAATCTCTTTTTCTTCAATCATCGCAATAGAATTAAAGAAAATGAAATGTATATAGAGTGGGAGAGAAAACAAAGAAAATGAAAGATTTGAAGAGACTAGAGAAAGATATACCATTGTGTCTTCAAATATGGTGTGGAAGCTCTGCGAAATGAGAAGGAAGAAAGAGGAAAAAGAGATGGCAGACTATAGAGGAAAATGGAGATCGTCCAGTTGAGGAAGATGTGAGATGTGGGTTTTCCCTTTTGCTTTAAAAAGAAGAGAAAAATGCGGAGGAGAAGAGACTTTTGAGGGAGAAAACAAGGGTTGAGAATTGTTTGGCTGATCATATCCACATACACCAGCTTCTCTTTTTCATGGCATACACGCCCTGCATGTCAACCAACAATTTTGGTTTCTAATTTGCAAATAAAACCCTAAAACCCAAATTTTTTTTTTTCATAAATAAGATATTATTGGATTTGAAAAGGTCAGACCTAACAAAATTTCTTTCCCCCATGGAGTCGGCCAAATAAAACACAAAACAAATGTCTTGAGTGCCTCCATAAAACTTGGAAAAAAAAAAAAAACACACACACACACACGCACTCATGAGACTATTAAAAACTGATAATAGCTCTTAACATATTACAAACAATTCCGCTACATGTCATTCAAAGACATGAAGTAATCAAGCTACAAAATTCACAACTTTGGGACCCCTCTTCTTCTTTAGTTTTACATTGTTCTCTTCCAAATCCAAATCAAGACCATCTTTCAACTTAGAAGGCTTGTCTTTGTTACCGCCATTTGTGTCCTCTGTGATAAAGTCATCGTCAAGATCATCCCCGCTAACAAATTTGGTCACCCGTCCTCTTGGAATTTCCTCGTATTCAAATGCTGAAACCAAGAAAACCGTCAGAGTTGGAACTTAATGGATGTCAAAGTATACAGATATAAGCAATTGTTGTGAAGGCTCTACATTTTGAGTTATCTATTAAAATTTTTATCTCATTTCCAAAAGTCATTTGAGAATGCTGAAAATAGAAATAAAGATGCATATAATTTGGATTCACAGGCACCAAACAACAACATTAAGCATATCAGTAATTCCGGATGTGCTTCAATGTTCATTACAAATGATTGAAGGACACAGAAAAGCAGGGCGCGCTATTCATATGTCCTAAAAGATTAATTCAAGAATTCCAACAACTATTTCTTCCCTGACCTCAAATTGCTCATGCCAAACGTATTTACAAAAATTTTTTGCATCAACAAGCATTCTTCAATCTATTTATTTCTTAAAATTTCTTATTAAGTTGAGGAAATGTTTTTAGTTTCTAAAATCCGTATCAAATGGTTGGCTTTACAAACATAGCAAGTCAATGCTCATCTATCAGAAGATACATATATCTGAATCAGTTTGAATATAATTGTGGTAAATGACTATGATCAGCTTATAGACCACGGAAGAACTTAAAATGGGGACATCGGTTCAAAAAACTCAGTCAACTTGTGTTCTAGGATGCACGCTAATGCTAGGCATGTAAGTAAAGGAACTAAGAAGTAAGAATATGATATTTCAGTTTTATAAGCACAAGCCACTCAATCTAATAGCAATTAGAAATTCTTTTACCATGTGTCCTTTGAACACTGGAACTCCATTCAAGCAACATAGTCTAAATTCAAGTCTTACACCAATTCCTCCAAGGCGCTAACAATTTTTAAGACAGTGCTAGATCGTATGGGGAGAACATTTTGTTGATCATTTAAAAGTTATCTAACTTCATATTATTTTTATGATATTAAATCCAATTAATATGGACAGAGATAGTAAAGAATGTTATAATAGCATGTTACTCCCTCCGTCCAAAATATTTGTCCATCTTTCTATTTTGGGACATCCCAAAATACGTCTCATTCCTAAAATGGATGTACTACTTTTTATAACATTCCTAAACTACCCTTTTGACATTTACTTTTTTAAATAAGTGCACTAATTTCGAAGTAGTCCAGCAAGGATAAATTTGAAAATTCACTCTTATCACTACAATAAAAAATATTTAAAACCTACCATCATAGAAAGTTGGATTCCCCAAAACACCTAAGAATTTTGGGACAAAGGGAGTATTTAGTTGAAGTTATAGCCATAGATAGAGTAGAATGGTAAAACACGATTCACAATATTAACCTAAATTTTAGAACAAATAATTGTCAAGTTGAGGTTGAGAGGCAAAGTATTGGTTCAGCCTAAACATGTTACCAATACCAACTTACCATGCAGTCCTTTTTCCCCAAAAAGAACAGATAATGATGTCCAACATCTGTGAGTTCAACAACAGCTTTTTTTTTTCTTTTTTTTTTTTCCCTTTCCTGCAAACTTTTGACTCTAGAAACTAGATATAGCAAAAAGGCATGCACATTAAAATTGTTGAGGTAAGTCTTAGACAATTGCGGGAACAATGGTTGACCAGAATACATACTCTTCAACATGTAAATCAAATTATAATAAGCAAAACAATTTCAAAAAACATTATACAATATAGGGAATGCTTACATCCTTCACCAACTCCACCAGCTCCATTAGAAACTCTGTTGCCTTTATTAGGACAGTCTTTGGCCAAATGCGTTATGCCACCACAAATTTTACAACAACCACCCTATAGGAAATATCGTTTTGAAAGATGTCAGAGTGGAACAATGAACGAAGTAGAGAGAAAACTAAGGACTCAAATGCTCAACGTGCTAAAAAAATGAAAAAATAAGAATTCGCAGCATATGCAATAAGATAAAGAACATAGTTGTCTACTTGTCTCTATTCTTACAGAGTAAAACATCAAAACTGTAAAGGTAAATGTACCTTCGGATAGATCCCATGAGTATTCTGGGGACAGTTCTTACTCAAGTGGCCGCGTTCATTGCAAATAAAGCAACTTGCAAATTTTGTCCCCGCTGTGTTACCAGAGAGAGAGAGTCATGACATATGTTGAAACAAAAGTCTGAGAACACAGTTTCATATGAGTACCTGTAAGGTTGGCTCAGCTATAGCACATGTTATTATTACTCAATTCACATGTCCTACTTGATCAATAGAGCCAATGAGGGAATGTGTTGCCACAACTTGCAAAGAAGTAATCCCTTAAATGGGTGAATGAATTATCTCATAACCTTCATATTGGTGCAAGTACAAACTTTTAAATTTGAACAAAAATCTCTGATTCTAAGCAAGAAAGAAATACATAAACACACCACCTCAATATTAAATCAAAATTTGATTA